AACTTTTTGGTTGTTAAAAAAAAGGTGCGCTCGTTCAAAACAGTTGCGTTCGATCCTTCGCTGGCTGTGCCGATTTAAATCTAGTGGTTCTTTTGTGTTTGTGTTGCAAATAACCGTACCGAGCCGTACCATGCAGTGGAAAAGCGCCATATGTGAACATGTTATTTGAAAACTGGAAACCCAAAGGGTAGGGAGTTCACGGTAAACAATGGTAACTATGTTTGGGTGCCTCATTGTATCTCTTAACATCTGTACATAGCTTTGTCATGGAAAGTAACAGGATTCATACCATGACTGGATTCTCATTTGTAGGGTAACCATGTTGTAACTAATACCATCAAGAAAAACCCACAGAAAAGCCTTATTATATTGTCTAAGGCTTCACATTGTTGTTGTTTTTTTCTTTTTTGGGAAATTTTAAATTCTTTTCTATGAATCTAATGTGTTACTGTTTTTACATGATTTTAAAAGTGTGTACAATGGTGAGTGGAAAGATTTACTAAATGATTTTTTTCTGCTGAGATCGGACTAAATTTGATTTAAACTGTTTCAGTTTTTTTACCGGTATGACTTGACATTTGACTTGAACTTAAATGTTACACACAACTAAGGCAGTTCTCTGATTGAAGTAAATGTCTGAATAATTAATTGAAAATTTTTTAAATTTTTTCCGATTTATTTATTTTTCTGTGTTGATATTCTAATTTATGGTATATCCATAAAGAATTTCCATGATGATGAATTAATGAGATTGGAGTGGAGGTACTTAAAAATCATTGAAGTTTTTAAATGTAAGACTACAGTCAAGTGACTCCTCTAACTATCTATCACAGATTAAAGTTTCTTCCTTTTTGCCATACTTTGGGGTTATGATAGCATTTCATTTCTGCCTTATTGTGAAGCATTTATTGAAAAATCCTTTTAAATGGTATTTACATAATTGCGCTTAACAAAGATCAGCTTGAACATCTGTTTCACAAGTTGAACAATATCTGTATCTCTATAAATTGTTCATGAAGATTGAGGAAAGTGGATATAGCTAAGTGCAATGGTCAGACTCAACTTTTCCGTTTCATTACCTTTTCAGTTAGCCTTTGTTTAGAAAGCTCAGCATACATAGAGCAGAGTTAGAGTGGAACTAAGTGGTTAATGAAAGCTTGTTTGATTAACTAGAACGTGATTTCAGGACGGTGCGTTCACGTAGCGATGGGCGCCTTCGAAACATTTGTGAATCTGGTTTCGAATCCGTGTTTCGGAGCGCGTATCAAACCGGCCAGGTCACGTGATTTTAGCAAACGAAGCTTCGTTACGTCACACTGTTTCGAAACTCCGATGGTTCACCACTAGGGGGTGTTGATCTCAAAGTGAACCCATGAACCACTTCTGGTTGCCCAGTTAATCATGTGACATTAAATTTTACTATAAAAAAATAAAGAATTCAGGGCCAGATGTTGTGGGTTAAACAAAGGATGACTTCCCTTTAACACAGATGGCTGTATAGTTTAAAACATGTGAAAACATTCAGTACTTTCAACCTACAAAATCACATCATACCAGAACAAAATGAGCTTACGATAGAATTAAATCCACCTCCTCCTGACTGAACACTACTCTTGCCTGCTGGTTTTTATAGACCGCTCTAATGAAAACACTTAATTAAATAATTACATAAATCAATTCATTAAATAATTTAGTTCATTGTGTGTTAAGGGTTTGATTATACTTAAATAAAACACATAACACAAGCACTAATATTTAATAGTATTTAAATGTTTATTTATTTTAAAAAATTGTATTTCTAAAAAAAAAAAAAAACATTTCCATTTGTTTTGTAAGTTTGGTCTGATTTCTTGATGCTTTTACAACGTTTTCACCAGCAGGTGTCGCCAGCATGTGCTGTTTCAAGTGCTTCGGAACATCGAATCATTTTTCGAAGCAATTGGTTCAATGCTTCGAAAAGCTTCGTTTCTCCCATACGCATTTTCCATGACACCGGAAAGGCTGGGATCATCTTCCTGTGAGCAAAACCAATACATTTACACTGGAAGAATAAGAAAAATGATGATGAATAATGATTCATTATACTGAAAGAGGACTGTGAGAAAGGAATCCCACATCTAAACCCATAGAAATGTAAACATGTCTAAACCTGTATGTCTGCAGCGGACATTTTATTACAGGTAAAGCATGGTATCAACTAAACTAAATTAATAAACAGCTCGATCAGGTTGATTTCTATACAGTATTACGAAGAATTGTGCGAGTCAATATATGATGTAATAATGTGTTTTGTTTGCTGGTGTTAAATTATAAATGTTAGTCTCTTTAACCTAAACCACACCCCTCAGCCTAATGTGAACAAGTGCAGATATTTAATCTGAATTTTTGCGCTTTAACATTCTGAAAAGTAATACAATTAATTTCAAACTAACAATTTAGACAAACACGTCGTCCACTGTGATTGGCTTCCTCGAATGACCGCACTAACGCTCCCCTCCTGCATATGGCACCCTCTACATTCTAGTCGGGCATTTTATACCGGAAGTATCGGATGGACAGTGGCTCACCTTATTTCTTCTGTATGCTCCTGCAACTTGATTTGAGCTTTGTTATAGTCAGTCGTGACAAAACAGTTTTAACCCTGGCGGCAGTTACTATCACGCAGTATTCGGTTGTGGTTTATTATCATAATAAACTGTCGTTGAGCAGTTAATAAACCCGGCATGATCAGAGATTGATTGTTGCATTGCTGAACAGAAGGTGCTTTCAACTGCTCGTCGAAGACTTCTAGGTAATACGAATGAAGTAAGCTTACTTCTGTATTCACTGTGGTGATTGCGTTAACAGATCGAAAATGTTCAAAATGGTGCTGTGTCTTTAAACCATGCAGTTTATCTTAGATGTTGTAGACACTATGTTTGCTTATATACAATATGTAATCTGTACAATTTTATTTATGTAAATTATTTAAATAAAATTATGATTTTAAACAAATGATAGAGGAACACACACATGCTATGCTTAAATATGTGGTACATGTGGCTCTTTATTAATGAAAGCCCAAACTTCGTTAATGTCTTGTCAGCAAAATTGAACAAACTTTCACAGATAATTTTTCATATTTCTCTTCAAGGCACCATGTCAGAGTTTACCCTCGATATCCAGCTGACAGAGTTGGGTTTTTCAAACTGGAATTTCCCTCTGTGTGAGCCACAGAGCGTTAAAGAGAACTTTTTGCCAACCCAGAACGGCACTGAAAAGCCAGCACCAGAGACTGAAACCCCCACAGACTGTCATGAAGATGCCTGCATTGTTGCGAGCTCATCGGCTGACAAAAGCTTTCTACAGGATCATCAATATTACACTCCCTTCAAAGATGACTCTTCAAGTAACGGAGAAACAGCTCAAAGCAATTCCAAAATCAGTTCCAAAGAGAAGAAGGATAAAGTCATTTGCAATTTGTGGAAAAGAGGAAGAGGAAGAGGAAGAAGAAGAGAAGGGCCAGAACAGAGAAATGATGATGATGAAGAGCAAAACGGAAAAGAGGGAATGAAAAATAATGACAAGGAACAGAAATGTTCAGAAGTGAGCCAGGAAGCCTCCGGTCTCACAATAGATGATGCTGTGTCTGGTGAAGAAATGACAGATGAGGATGCAGAATTTGTTTTGACTGATGATGATGATGATGATGATGTGGAGGAGGTAGAAGAAGATGAGGAAGATGATGTTGTGGAGGACAAGGAGGAGGAGGAAGAAGAAGATGATGATGATGTTTCGTGGTCAGGTACTGTATCATTTTCCAAGCAATGGTTTGTGATTTAGTTTATACTCTATTTTGTAGATTGTTATTTACCTTATTTAAGAATAAGAGTTTTGTTCTGCTGAACAAGTTTTTTATTGAAGCTTTTTATTATTAACTATATTTATTAATTGTGTATGCTCATTTTTCTTTAAATATCTTTGGCATTGTGTAATGATAATATAAATTAATCTTTAAATACACAAAAAATTGCTAATTAAAATGTATTGTTTAGCACTTACAAGCTTTTGTTCTAAACAATACAATTAAAATGTAATATTTAGCAAATCTAAAAATAAATA